TTCCCATCAACAACACGTGATGTCATCACGTGAGATCTAATACCTTGCCTTTGCTTACACAGTAGCATCACTTTTTTTTGGCGCCTTATTATTCTTTTCCTTCTTTTTGAATATATAGGATACTGAACAAAAACGACAATTTTGTCAATGAAAAGTAACAAATTCAACAAAAAAATAATAAATTTAACAACAAAAATAACAAAATTATCCATAAAAAATAACAAATACAATAAAAAATTCAACAACAAAAATAACAAATTCAACGACAAAATGACAAATTGAACTATAGAAAATAACAAACTGATAGATAAAAAATAACAAATATAACAACAAAAATAACAAATTTATCCATAAAAATAACCAGTGCAATAATAAAATTAACAAATTCAAAGACAAAAATAACAAATTGAACCATAAAAATAACAAATTTAACAACAAAAATAACAAATTTATCCATAAAAATAACCAGTGCAATAATAAAATTAACAAATTCAAAGACAAAAATAACAAATTGAACCATAAAAATAACAAATTCAACAACAAAAATAACAAATTGATCCATAAAAATAACAAATACAATAATAAAAATAACAAATTCAACAACAAAAATAACAAATTTAACAACAAAAATAACAAATTTATCCATAAAAATAACCAGTGCAATAACAAAAAATAACAAATAGAATCATAAAAATAACAAATTTAACCACAAAAATAACAAATTGAACGACAAAATGACAAATTGAACCATAGAAAATAACAATCTGATAGATAAAAAATAACAATTATAACAACATAAATAACAAATTTATCTATAAAAATAACCAGTGCAATAATAAAATTAACAAATTCAACAACAAAAATAACAAATTCAAAGAAAAAAATAACAAATTGAACCATAAAAATAACAAATTTAACAACAAAAATAACAAATTGAACCATAAAAATAACAAATTTAACAACAAAAATAATAAATTGAACTATAAAAATAACAAATACAATAACAAAATTTAAATATTCAACAAATTATAGATTCAGCAAAAAATAACAAATAGAAAACAAAAAATAACAAATATAGCAACCAAAATAACAAATAGAACATTTAAAATAAATATACATTGCAACTAAAAAACAAACAAATAATACATAAGTCAAGAAAATAATAAATATAGCATCAAAAATAACAAATTTAGCAACAAAAATAACAAAGTTATCCATAAAAAATACAATAACAAAAATAAAAAATTAAATACTAAACAAAAATAAAAAATTAAATACTAAACAAAGAATAGATACATAAAAAAATAACAAATATAGTAACAAAAAACAAATATAACAATATTAAAATTAATAGAACAACTAAAAAACAAATAAATAATATAATACTTAAGAAAATAATAAATAATGCATAAAAAATCACAAATACAGCAACAAAAATAACTATTTTAACAACAATAACGAATTTAACGACAAAAATAACAAATTAATCCATAAAAATAACAAATGCATTAATAAAAATAACAAATACAATAACAAAAATAACAAATTTATCCATAAAAGCAAATACAACAAAAATAACAAATTTATCCATAAAAAACAAATATAATAACAAAAATAAAAAATAAAATATTGAACAAATAATAGATACAGCATCAAAAATAACAAATGCAGCAAAAAATAACTATTTCAACAACAAAAATAATAAAATTAACAACAAATTTATCTACAAAAATAACCAATTGATCCATGAAAATAACAAATTCAACAACAAAATTAAAAATTAAACAAAAAAAGCCGTCAACAAAAAAAATAACTAGCAAATACAGCAACAAAAAAACAAAGTTAATAACAAAAATAACAAATACATCCAGAAAAACAAAAAACTAGCATATACAGCAAAAAAATAACAAATTCAAAAATAAAATTAAGAAATACAAAAACAAATGAAAAATACAATACTAAGAATAACAAATACAACCCCAAACATAACAAAAAATAACAAGAACATGAATTTGTTAATTTTGAGTTAGAAAGTAACAAATTCATGTATAAAAAAAATAAATAAAGCAACAAAAATGACAAATTAAAAAATAAAACAAATGCAGTAACAAAAATAACAAATTCAGCAATAAAAAAAACTATAGTTTAACAATAAAAGTAACTAATTCTACAATAAGATGAATAATTAATACTGCAATAGAGATAAAAATTTAGCAAAAAAAATTAATGATTCAGCAAGAAAATGACAAATACAGGAATAAAATTAGAAAAACAAAAATTTAACAAAAAGGCCATGAACAAAAAAAAACGAACAAATTCAGTCTAAAAAATAATAAAACTTACAAACACAGCAAAAAAAATAACAAATTCGATAACAAAAATAACAAATACATCCAGAAAAATAAAAAAAAATTTTAAGGAGAAAAAAATAAACAATTTAACAATAAAATTAACAAATTCAAAAACAGAAATATAAAAAATACAATTAAAAAAATATCAAATGCATCCTCAAAAATAACAAGAAATCAAAAAGAACAAATTCACCATCAAAAATACAAAGAAAAAAAATTATAAAATTTTTGAAATTATAAAATTTATGAAATTATAAAATTCACCAAAAAATAAATATAGCACAATAATAAAATAACATATTCCATAGGAAAAATAACATGAAAATAAAAACAACAAAACAAAAATAACAGAAAAGCAACAACAAAAAATTCTTTCCATATGCAAATACTGAACAAAAACAACAAATATTTAAAAAAAAGAAATAAATTTAACAAAAATGGGTATAGAAATTACAAATGCAGTAACAAAAATAACAAATTTACCAATAAAAATAATAAATACAGCAACATAATAATAGACTATCAATAAAATAACAAATACATAAATAAAATAAAAATAAAAGTAAAAAATTCAACAAACAAACAAACAAGAAAAAAAAACAAACAAAACAAACAAGAAATAAATTCTTAGTAACAAAAATAACAAATTCAACTTAAAAGTTAAAAAAAACTAGCAGATATATCAAACAAAAATAATAAATTGAACAACAATAATAACAAATTCAACCGGAAAAATATAAATCTAACAAGTATACATAAATAAAAATAAAAAATTTAACAATAAAAATAAAAAATACAGCAATAGAATAACAAATACTTTCTCCAAATGAAGAAATTGAAGAAAAATAACAAATTAAATAACAAATACAACAATGAAAGTATAAAATGCAAAAATTATCAAATCAAAAGCAAAAATAACAAATTGAGCCATAAAAATAAAAGGACCAAAAAAGAGGCCATTCAAACAACAAGAAGAAGAAGAAAGCATCAAAAATAACAAATTCAGCCATAAAAATAGAGAAGACCAAAAATAACAATAATAAAGCAACAAAATTATCAAATTCAAAAACAGAAATAAAAAATACATCAACGAATTAATAGATTCGTCAAAAAAAGAACAAGAGAGCAAAAATAAATAAAGCAATTAAAAACAGATTCAGCCAGAAAAATAACAACAAAATAAAAATAACACACGCAGCAAAGAAAAATTACAATTGCGAAAAAAATAAAAATTATTTATTTATCATTTGTTTATTTCTGCTTTACAAAAACTACATTTTAATCGTAAGAAATTCCGCCATTACATGTAGAAACAAAAAAATTATATGGAATAAAAATAAAATAATAATAATAATAAAAACATAAAATAGTTTCAAATTTTCATTATTAATGAAAATAAGTTTTTATATCAATAAAAAAAAGTATTTTTAATAATCAATAATTAAATACAAATCTAAGATGAACTTTAACAAAAAAAAATTGGTTTTAAATTAAAGTGTTGAGGGTTGGAGCATGCCTGATAAAATATTGTCGTCGGCTGACAAGAAAAAAAAAGGAAAAAAAACGACTATATTGTTTCCGCAAAACACGCGTGGCGACAATCCGGAAATACCCTTCTCCCCCTTCTTTATTCACTAAGTTCAAGTTTTTTTTCATATTTTTAACTACCTTTTTTCCACCCCACTTCATGTTGTATACTTATGGTCTTGACTTTTTTTTTGAGAATATGATAAAAAAAGTAGGTCCTTCAAGTCAAGAATTTAGAGTTATTATTCTTTTTTTTATTTTCTTTTTCTTTTTTTTTTGTTTGAAACGAAAATATATTCAGTGCTCGACTTTTTTGTGCAGGATGTTCTAAAAATATGAAATTCTTAAAATGAGAAGGTCATTAAACTATAAGTGTAGTAAATTAGATAATTAGAGGATTGATTTTTAAATTTAAGAAAATAAAAATTTTATTTTTTTTCATTTTATTTGTTATTTATTTTTTTAATTTATAAAGAAATTTTTTTGCAATTTCTCGAAGATGATGAAATCTTTTTTAAAAATATATTATAATAGAAATATATTATAATAAAATATATTATAATAAAAATATATTATATTGAAACTATTTCAAATAATATTTTATTTGTTTTATCGTTAAAGGCTCGTTATTTAAAAAATAGGGGAATAAAATAATATAGTTATTGAAATATTCTTAATTTTAAAATGATAAGTTTGTAAAAAAAATAAATTTGCATTTTCATTTTAATTCTTTTAGTGCTTTATTTTTAGTTTTCTAAAACTGAAACATAAACATTTATTATTTTTCAATCTGTAAGAGTGCCATAAAAAATACTATATTCACGTTTCTACACAAACAGGTAAATATTTGTTATATTTTATTTATTTTTAAAATCACAAAATTTAATAAGGTTTCAAATTGTTCGTTTTTCATATATAATTGCAAAAAAAAAAAAAAAAAAAAAAAATTTAGCTTCTGTCAAAATTAAGCTCATTTTTTCTTAATTCTGCTATGTCTGTTTTAAATTCAGTAGCATTAAATATTTTTCATTTATATTTGCTTCATAATTTTTTTTTTAAATTTAAAAAAAATTTTTTTTTTTTTAAATAAAAATATTTATAACAGAAAAAAAGCAACGAATCTTCATTGAAACAGCATTTATTGAATCAGAAAGAGACAATTTTTTTTCTTAATTATTATTCAAGAATTGAAAGAACTTTTTTAAGCAACATTATTATACCATTTTTTATAAAAGTTCCCAATTTTCCAGTAAATGAAAAAATAATGTCCATTGTATTGGAAGTATTTGCCACATTTTTTTTACATAATTCACCTTCACAATTCTGAAAAGAAAGAAAATCAGAGAGGTGAAACTTGTATGGTAAAACAAATACAGATATTATTGTAAAAATAATATTTACTTCATAATTGGTGGATTTATCAGTTGTTGTATACGACACACTAGTTAAATTCACAGGGCTGTTAGTAGTTTCCTCGGTAGTTCTTATAGGCGCATACATACAGTTACCCATATCATCACAGTACTGAGAAAAAGAAAATGTCAAGTACAAGTTGTATAGTAGCAAAGGAGGATAGTCAATAAAATTTGTTTTTGGTACACTTTCAGTTAAAACTTAAAGTTTCTTTTCTAGTTCAAAAGAAAAGTGTAATTCAAAAGTCTGTAAAGCTTTTTTTGCAAAAACAGAAATTTAAAAAAAAAAAAAAAAAAAAAAAAAAAAAAAAATGTTTGTAAAAGCTATTTTATAATTATTTATAATATTAATTGACCATTTATTTACAAATATTTAAGTTTAATCTAAGATGAGCCAAAAAACCAGTCTTATTGTTCCTTCTTCTTTTGCATATTTTAAAAAAATTATTCTTACTCCAATAGAGCAAGGCGATCCTTGTTCAAGAATCACATTTTCACTATGATCTTTCTTATCAAAAAATTTGTTTGTATCACAAATAATAATGCATCCATCGTTATACTGAAAAAATTAAATAATAATAAAAATAAATTTAGAAAGCATGTGAAGAAAATCAAATTCAGTATAAAAAATTGCAGATATATACATATTTGACTTCTATTACTGACCTCACCAAAAAATTCCAATCCATGTTCCTCGCATATTTCATCGAATTTTTTATTCTAGAAAAGAGAAAAAATTAACAATAATAACAATAAATAATAATTTGAATGTTCTTTCATTCAACCAAATGTTATGCGCGGAACGTGATATTTAATTTTTTATTATTGTTAAGCAAATTACATTTTAAAATTTTATATTTTCAAATATAAATTTTTAAAATAATTTCATAATCAATTTTATATTTTTAAATATATAAATTTTTTAAATAATTTCATAATCAAAAATTAAAAAATTTACTTATTAAGTACAAAATTAATTATTACATAATTTCAAAAAAAAAATTTTTTTTTAAATTTCACGAAAGAATTTAATTTTTTTTTCTAAACTTTTAATAAATCCTTCTAAACAATTCAATTATTTTTTTTAAATAGTAAAATCTTTACAAAAATTCAATGATTTTCAAAACAATTATTTCAATTTGAATTCCTCGAATGAATTCAAATATTTTTAAATATTTCCATAAATTTCAATTTTGTCCTAAAATTTTAATAAATTTTTCCAAAAAATATTCAACTATTTTTATAAATTTTACAAATTTTAATAAATCCTTCGAAGCAATTCAACTATTTTTATAACTTTAACAAATTTAAATAAAATTATACATGAAAGAATTTAATTTTTTTTTTGAAAAATTTCCATAAAATGCAATTTCAACAAGTATTTAAAATTCTCAAAAAATAATTCAATTATTTTCAAAAATATTTTTAAAAAATTCTATTATACTATAAAAATTTAATTACTTCCAATGCAATTTTTATAATACTTCCATTTGCAATTCGTCAAAAAAAAAAAAAAAATTGAAAGAATTCAATTATTATTTTCAAAAAATAAATATTAATAAATAAATATTTCTATAAGATTCTTCATAACAATTTAATTATTTCTTAAAATTTTAATAAATTCTTCGAAACATTTTAATTATTTTTTTCAATAAGTAAAATTCTTCGCAAGAATACAATTATTTTTATAATTCACTTTTAAGAAAATTCTTCATCATAAAATTCAATATTGCTTTCAAAATTTTCAAATTAAATAATTATTAAAGAAACTTTAGTATTTAAAAAAAAATTCAAAGAAATTCTTCAAAATAATTTAATTAAGATTTTTTTTAAATTTTAATAAAATTCTTTGCAAGAATTCACTTATTTTTCTATAAATAATAAAATTCTTTGCAAAGAAATTCTATTATCATTAAATTTTTTGATAAAATTATTTGCAATTCGATGATTTTCAATACATTAATTTTCAAATTGAAAATATTTTGAAAAGAAAAATTATAAAAAAGTTAAGAAACAAAAATCAAACAAACATATAACTTTAAACTGCGATCAAATTACTGGAACATGTACTTTATTAATATTAATTAATTAATTAATTAATTATTTTCATTTTATCATTAATTCAAAATTGTAGTGACAAATAGAAATCATTAGAATTTTTTTCACTTCTTTTCATTAAAAGACTAAAATTCTGTTTTGTCAAATTGAAATTATGCAGATTTTTGTTCTTTACTTCTAAAGAAAATTAGAAAATTGTTAAACAGTTTTACAATTGTGATTAAGAAATAAAAAATTTATTTATTTTTGCATTATTTTTCCTTATGAATCAGAATTTTTTAAAGATTATTATTATTTTTTTTTTAGAAAAAGAAGAAAAATATTTGCAAAATTCCTATTTTTAATCTTATTTTTAAAACAGGATTTTCCACAGAAATTAAGAAATTCAAAAGATTTAAAATTCAAACCTTTTTTTTAAATTAAACAACTTATAAAAGTATTTGTTATAAAACATGAAGATATCAATTGCTCCGAGTCTTCGTCTCGAAGTGATCGATTTCTTCATGTTTTTCTAATAATTAAAGATGACCGAGAGATAAAATAATTATTTTATATTATAAGAATATTATCACTGTAACTTTATCAAAATTTTCATCATTTTAATTCAATTATTATTTTCTGGAATTTTAAATTATTTTTTATTGAAAATAATTGAATTCTTTAAAAAAATTTAATTATTTATAAAAAATAATTTAATTCCTGATGAAATTTTTATTATTTATGAAAATAATTAAATGTTTGCATACAATTTTATTAAAATATTTTTTAAATAATTGAATTCTTTTTGGGAAATTTTATTAAAATAATAGATATTGAAATCCCCTGGAAATTTCAGGAAACTTTCATAGAAATCTTACATCCTAGTATATCTAATAGATTTCAGTTCGGTATTCCATAACGGATTATGAATAAATAAGTATGTTTGATTATAATATTTTTAAATTATGATTATAAATTACAAAAATTACCTGATTCGTGTAGGTGAATTGTGCAATGAGTGCACAAAGTAAAATATAGACGTAAATCATTTTCTGTCCACTTTTTAAAAGTTTACTTTTTAGGAACTTTGATGCAGTAGAGGTTTAGGATACTTCAAAGCGCCACGTATGAATAATTTTTTATTTTGAATGCTTCTGCATTTTTGAAAAGTGCACTAAAATTATCGCAATAATTTATTGTCTCCAAGTCAGTAAGAGCACTGCTGGTGTATTTTGTCAATTGGACGAATGAAAATTACTTGATAATACAAAGATAGAAAAAATGTACACGTGCATGTTATAGTTCGTTGATAACTGTTGAAATAAAACCATGGAATAAATTTATTATTATTCATTTTCCCCGCACACTAAACGATTTTCACTTTTGAAAAATTTTCCTATTTTAGAGTCACCACCATTACTCTAACCAAAGCCACTATTAATAACACCAAAAGAAAAGAATACAACAATATAGGGAAAAATTAGCGTGAAAACGAATTTTGTGCAAATCTTTCCAAACTATTATTTATAAAAGAAGGTGGGGGGGGGGGGGGGGAAACGGGTTTTTGAGATGGCACTGCGATATATTGAAGGAGTAAAGGGAGATCCCTCACACTATGGGAGCTGAGGGGTGACGGAATTCACGTCTGAACATTTATCTAGCCTGGAGTGGCATATTTCAACAGACTTTCACCCGCACAAAAAGTCACTCACTTTCGTCAATCAATTGTAGGATTTCTTTTCTTTTCATCGGGAGAAAAAAAAGGAGACGAAGAAGAGGAAGACGAACAAGAATTCCCGTGGTTTATTCTCATTGAAGAAAACGACCGGTGTTCACGAATATATGTCTTTTTGGTCCTCATCTTGACTCGCCTTGCATGATTTATCAAACGTCAAGTCGCAGTACTACGGATTTCGCATTAATGATTTAATGTTCTTTCTGGTGATTCTTGGAGATTTAACGGAACAGATGGACTCAAGTTGCACTGTATTGATATATTTTTTATTTACAAGCATTAAATCTATTTATTGTCATGAGAATTTTTAGTGCAATTTCCTTTTGTTTTTTTGATTTGGAATTCAATAAAATGGGAAATGAAGATAAGTTAATTGTGATAAAAATCCTAATTCTGATTCTCATTCTAATTCTAATTGTAATTCTAATTCTAATTCTAATTCTAATTCTAATTCTAATTCTAATTCTACTTATAATTGCACTAATTCTAATTCTAATCCTAATTCTAATTCCGTTTCTAATTCTAATTCTAATTCTAATCCTAATTCTAATTCCGTTTCTAATTCTAATTCTAATTCTAATTCTAATTCTAATTCTAATTCTAATTCTAATTCTAATTCTAAATCTAATTCTAATTCTAATTCTAATTCCGTTTCTAATTCTGATTCAAATTCCAATTCAAAATCAATTCTTAATTTTAATTCTGATCTATTTTTAATTCTAATTCAATACCCAATTCTAATTATAATTGAATATCCTTTTAATTCTAATTCCACTTTCAAATCTAATTCCAATTAAACTTCTCATACGAATAATAAATTTATTCGTAATTATAATTCGTAATTATAATTCTAATTTTAATTCTAATTCTAATTCTAATTCTGATTCTAATTATAGTAATAATTCTAATTACAATTTAAATTCTAATTTTAATTTAATTCTGATTTCCATTAGAGATTTCAATTCTAATTCTAATTCCCATTTTTATTTTTTATTTTTTATTTTAATTTAAATTCTATTTCTCAGAATGACCTTGTGATAAATTTTTATATTTACTTTTAATTCTAATTCTACTTTTAAATCTAAATCCAATGAAACTTCTCATACGAATAATAATTTCATTTCTAATTCTAATTTTAAATTTAATTATAATTCTAATTCTGTTTCTAAATCGGATTCTAATTCTAATTTAAGTAAATTTTATTTCAAATTCAAATTCCAATTCAATTCTTAATTTTAATTCTGATTTATTTTTCATTCTAATTCAATATCCAATTATAATTTTATTTAAATTTACTTTTAATTCTAATTATACTTTTAAATCTAATTCCAATTGAACATTTCATACGAATAATAATTTCATTCCTAATTATAATTTTAAATTTCAATCTAATTCTAATTCTAATTTTAATTCTAATTCTAATTCTAATTCTAATTCTAATTCTTCTTCTTCTTCTAATTCTATGTTAAACTCTATTTCTAATTCTAACTCAATTCCTAATTCTAATTCTAATTCTTCTTCTAATTCTATGTTAAACTCTATTTCTAATTCTAACTCAATTCCTAATTCTAATTCTAATTCTAATTCTTCTTCTAATTCTATGTTCAACTCTATTTCTAATTCTAACTCAATTCCTAATTCTAATTCTAATTCTAATTCTAATTCTAATTCTAATTCTAATTCTAATTCTAATTCTAATTCTAATTCTAATTCTAATTAAAATTTTAATTTTAATTAAATTTCTGGTTCTAATTTTAATTCAACTACAATTTTAATTCTAAGTATATTTTTAATTCTAAAATTACTTTTACTTTTAATTCTAATTCTGATTTATATTAGAGATTTAAATTTCTAATTTTAAGCTCCCATAAGAATATCGCGATTTCTGTTTTAATAACAATCTTCTAATTCCAATTTCAATTTTTATTTCCATTTTCAATTCAAATTCTATACTTACAGTTTTTATTATTGATTTTAATTCAAATTCTAATTCTCAGTACGACCTTTTGATAAAAATTTTAATTTACTATTAATGCTGATGCTACTTTTAAATCTATAATTCTAATTGAACTTCTCACACGAATAAAAATTTAATTTCTAATTCTAATTTTTGATTTAATTCTAATTCTAATTCTAAATCTGATTATAATTCTAATTAAAGTACAATGTCAATTCTTATTCCTAATTATAAATTTTCTATTTAATGCTAATTTTAATTCTAATTCTGAGCCTAATTCTGATTCTAATTCTGATTCTAATTCTGATTCTAATTCTGATTCTAATTCTGATTCTAATTCTTATTCTAATTCTGATTCTAATTTTGATTTTGATTCTAATTCTGATTCTAATTCTGATTCTAATTCTGATTCTAATTCTGATTTTAATTCTAATTCTAATTGCAATTTAATTTTTATTCCTAATTTTAAATTTTCCATTTAATTCTGTTTTCAATTCTAATTCTGATTCAAATTAATTCTGATTCAAAATACTCAATTCTAATTCTAATTAAATTTACTTTTAATTCTAATTCTAATTGAACTTCTCATACTCGAATAATAATTTAATTCCTAATTCATTGTATAAATTTAATTCTTATCCTAATTCGAATTCTAATTCAAGTGCAATTTGAATTATAATTCCAATTATAATTTTGGTTGTAATTTCAATTTTTAATTCTATTTTCTAATTCTAATTCTATAATTATTATTCTAGTTGTAATTGCAATTCTAATTCTCATGAGAATATTACAGCTCCAGTTTTAATATGAGAATCTTCTAATTCTAAATTCCAATTGTAATTGTAATTCTGATTCTGATTCTGATTCTAATTTTAATGCTAATTCTTTTTCTAATTCTAATTCTAATTCTAATTCTAATTCTAATTCTAATTCTAATTCTAATTCTAATATTTTAATTTCTGTATTAATATTAGTTTCTTCTAATTCAATTTGTAACTAAAATTTCGAATTTAAAGTATTCTGTTGTAATTTTAAAATGGAAATTTTCAAATTGAAATTTCTAATAAAAATTTCTAAATTGAAATTTTAAGAAAGTTTAAAATTGAAATTTCCAATAGGAAATTTCCTACTTTAATTTTCAACCATTTCCACTTTGAATAATTTTCCATGTTAATCCAAAACTTTTGTCACCTATATAGTAAATTATTGGAAAAATTCGTCAAAATGACAAATCTATTCTGAAAAGTATATTGTAATTTTTTTCATTATTTCACGCATTTCGTGACATCTGCACGAGTTAAATTTTATAAATATATATATATATATATATCAGACTTTTAAAGTGAAACATCTTCATAGCTTGTTACGGATAATTTTCAGAAAAGGGTTATTGCCAAGGCAAATGGCGGCACTGCGGCAGCGACGGTGGCATTCCTTTGTAACAAGAACGAATTTCGCTGGCGGTCCATAAAATGCGTAACTAACCTTAAGCCCAGTACTAATCGATTCACAATCACGAACAATGTCTCAACTCTTATTCACCACTTTGCGAATATCACAATTTATCATTCTGCCATTTTTCCCCAAAAAGAGTGACTAAATGGTTGAAATGATCATTCACAAAAAAAGAAAGAAAGAAAGAAAGAAAGAAGGAAAAAAGAAATCATAGAAAGGAGTCTCTTCCGATTTTTTACCACATACACACATTTTGCAATGGAGTGACCATAACTTCAATAACGAGGTCAATTTTACGCCCTGTCTACAGTTATTATTGAGACCAATCCATTTCTCTGATATTCAAAGGACTTAATCGAAAATGTCCATTCGAATTATTTGGTTGTTGAAAATTTTGCACTCTTTTTATTTTCTTTTTCTTTTATAATATATAAAGGATTTTTCGTTTGGATGAATAAGAGATGCGATTTTTGTCATTTTCCAAAAGTGGGGAAAGGGGAAAATCTGTCTTCATCTTTTCGTGGGCACAAAAGAAAGGGTATAATATAATTGCGACCTACATGTGCGTTAAAAATCTAAGTTTATGAATAATAATCGATTTTTCACATATTACAGTGATTAACATATCAAATATGTTGCGCAGCAGGCACTTCAGAAATAAAATCCTGTTTCGAGTGTACCTAACAATCAATCAAAATATAGACGACAAAATTTATATAGAATTTTAAATTTTTTACCCTTTCCCAGATAGCAGACACGTCATCTTTCTTATTCAAGTAAATTTTAATTCTAGCTACAATTCAATTCTTAATTTTAATTCTGTGGTTTATTTTTAATTCTAATTATACTTTTAAATCCAATTCCAATTGAACTTCTCATACGAATAATAATTTCATTTCGAATTCTAATATTAAATTTAATTTTAATTATAATTCTAATTCTAAATCTAATTCTAATTCCTAATTTTTAATTCCTAATTCCTAATTCTTAATTTCTAATTCCTAATTCTAATTCCTAAATCTAATTCTTAATTCTTAATTCCTAATTCTAATTCCTAATTCCTAATTCCTAATTCCTAATTCCTAATTC